TTAGTCAATAATCGCGACAAAGGGTCACACAGTATCAATTAGCTGCCCGTCAAACTGTCTATCTATATGTCGCGCTTTTCATGCTGTTTTCCTCAATATTGAGACTGTGATTTAGTGTTGATTTAGAAAATTTAGACTAAATATAGAGGAGACAGGTTATCACTGTGAATAGTTTACCAAAGTTATGTTACGTGCATCGCGGTTGTGACTAATATTTTGTGTTATTTTTGTAAATATTAGTCCATCGGCGATCTTGGATAATCTGTATCCTGTAGTTTCCGGGGATGTGGCCAGTCAGAGGGCCACCTTTATGTAACAAGCCTAACCCACTTTTTCGTTGTTGTAGGGGTCCCTGAATCATACGTTTACATTAGCCATAGATGTGAGGGTTGTGTAGGGGTGGGGTTCCGACTCAGTTTAAGGGTACCCACAGAGATATAATCTGTTGTGTATATCGGATGAAGATTTGTTCGGTATTACACCAGTCGACGGGTTACCTCTATTTTCATTGACGTCATATTTATGGCGGTATGAAGGCCTATTCATTTTCCCTAGGTTAGTGGCAGGGTTGGGGTCGCTTAAGTTAGGATTATTGGTTTGCTGCTGAGAAATATGTCAGTGGCGGGTTTGGGTACAGGTATTCTGGATGTTCCGGTTGCGTCGCTTCGTTTTGTATGCATACTAGGTTACATGCTTCTTGGGGAAGTAATATTTAATGATAACGAGTAATATTGTAGTGGCATTAACAGCTAATGGTGATGACGTGTTTAGCGAGCACAACTCTGAAGATGCATCTAAGTCTATGACCGCAGTTGCTTCATCGTTGAGTTTACTAGGAAAAGCCCTATTTTTCATGGGTATACTATTTTCATGCGTGTCTGAAGCATTAGGTTTACTTAAATTTTAGGCGATAGAACCTTTCGTGTAAAGTTTTTGTGGTTAGATAGGTTTTGCGAGACTTGATACACTTATATGGCTACGTCTTTGACATGGCGTTGGATCATGAGCGAGTTTAGCGTTACCACAAGGTGTGGATGATGTAATCAGCCTGTTAGACGACTGGAATTTCCTTACGTCATTAGGACTACTGCACAGGACAAGTACGCTTTCCCGATTTTTTTCCAGAGCCTGATTAGGTGGCAATTCGGTGGTGGCATGCCGCACGCTTGGAGTCATGTCGCTTTGGCTTTGTCCAGCGACATCCATTCAGACAGATTGCACGTGAGAACGTTGTAGGAAGACATGATTCATTGTCTTCATTTGCCATAAGGTCTGACATACGCCCAGGCTTCAGCAGACTATCCCGATTGGTATCGTGAGCTGGTTACAAAGAAGCAGTAATGGCTTAGTGGTATATATTTTTTCATTGAACTCCTACAGAGATTTCCTCGAGGAAATAAGGTCCAACTTATGTTGTTTGGCAGCTGCGTATACCAGTGGTAGCAGGTCGGGTATAGCGACTTTGGCGACGTTGTTGGGGATAAGTGAGCGTGTAGTGACATACGTATATTCATAACCAAGTGACCTAAACTATTCTTACGTATAGAATGTACTAGTTTATTGCGTTGTGCTAGTGTTGCTGACTGATTAGTATGGTTTCAATTAGAAGCTGAGCAAAAACGAAAATGGGTATATGCATGCTAAGAAATACTATAAGCACGGTAACAATTTTATTGATAACAAATAAGTGATAAATAGACAGAAGTAATGAACCGTGAAGTACAGACTATATGAAACCAGTTATCTTGTAATTTGATCCTGATATATACACCAAAAGTAATGAACTTCCATATAGTTTTTTTGCGTTAGGTTGTTCTTTGCTTGTAAAAAGGACGCTGAGCCTTGCGAAAAAGTGAATCCAAACTTGATAACTGGCGGTGATATATCAGGATAATTGGAAGCTGGTCTGACAGCCAATGCAAGTTATAGTTGAGGAGTGGTATAATATCCACTACAATATCCCAGAAATCGGTGAGAATCTATCCACGTTATCATAGTCAAAAAGTATTGAGACCTACGTATTAGTGGTGTTACATAGTGCTGACGCTGAAGTCGGTAACATCGTGGGAGTGTTTATAGAGTTGATGAGATACTATTTGCATAGAATCAGTATTTCTTGACTGAGGGTGGCAATAGGCTATCCATGGAGTTAGTAGTAAGATACGTATTGGGAGCATGCAACATTTTTGGCTCTATAGTCTTCAGCTCCATGAAACCTGAGACGTTTTATGGAATCTTTCTTGGTTGGTAATCTGTGTACCGTTAACAGCGGTTAAATGGAAACATACCGTTTTCGTTTCACATCTTGAGGTGACAGCGTATCCTCATCCGGCCGTCAAACTAAACGCATCGCCATCACACTTTGCAACTTCGCCTCTGAACAGAGGACTTTTGTCGAAAATAGAATGAATATTTCTATATTACCTCAATCAACAAGCTTCTTACAGGGTCTTTAATCAGTTTTGAGCCTGATGTTTGGTCCTGTAACAAAATCACCGACGGAATCCGTGTGGGAGCGCATGTCTGCATGAATCATCATATGCGCTACAAACATAACCATTGGCGCTTGTGCGCACAGAATTATGATATTTCGGGTGGAATCCTAAGGGAATATCAAAAAGTGACATGAACAACACTTGAATCGTGTGGTATAATTTTCAGTCGAATTCAGCGTTAGTCAGTTGGCATTCAGACCGATTTTCAGCAGCTGACCCAAACGCCGTTCAAGTCAGTAGTTACTAACGTTCAGGTGAATGTATGAGGTAAGGGTTTGGCTACCCCGTAGTTTTTGTTCCTGATGAATATGGCTTACACATTCGGTGTAATAACTGGACTCACAGTTTGAATGGATGTAATTTTTCATTCATTGGGAAATACAAAAAACCTTTATTATAATCAATATCATACACCCAATGCCCAAATTTTTTCAAACCGTTAAAAGTGAACTTGGTTTGGACATTTACAATGAAGTATAGTTTGTTGATTGCTGTTTCGTAACCTGGGGTTGTTAACTTTAGCAGCTTCTTTTGTTTGGTTGATTTTGAGTTCTCAGTTTTGATTTCCTTGGTTGTCTGCCCTGTATCAGTACATATACTATCAAGCGAAAAATTATTCCGTAGGGCTCCTTTCTATTTTTTGATGTGTACCATTGCTTTAATATATTTTAGGTGATTTAAAAGGTGAGCACTTTTAGAAGGGTCGAGGGCTATCAGGAACAAATGTCTTTGTTTTAGTGTTTTTAGCGTTAGAAATTCACATCTACTGCAGAGTGTCTTTTCTTATTCGAGGTTTCTCCAGCGTTAAGTATCTCTGAGCTGCAACAAACTCTGGTTTGTCCAGTGTGTATACCATCAATATAAATTAGCCGTATTCAACCCATGGGCACAAAAATTCAGAAGATATTTGGGTTCACTGCTGTGGGAACTTCTTTGTCATAAACCTAAACGCTCGCTCGACTTCAATAGTTGAGTGAACACGTGTTATGAAAGATGATATGTATTATCGATATCTCAGTTCTAGGCTCCGTATAGACTGCAGTCTGAGGAATGTATAGCCATGGACTACTAAGTCAGCTTCAGGGTTGCAGCAACTTATGCGGAACCAGCAACCCTTTCTAACACTAGTTTTCCTTTTTATCAGTTTTAAGAATATGCATCTGACTGTTGCTTGCATGCACAGGCAATTCGTTAGTCATCTGCTTTTATCAGTGCTTCACATGTCCTGACGCCTTCACCGATGCTATTTATAAATATAGATATTTCATCGTGAACTTCCATCAGTCAGTAATACTCGAAGTCTGGGGAGCACTTAGGAGCTGTTTAATTCCAGATTGAGATTCTTCAGAACTGTACATCCACGAACATGTTTGTCAAATCTATGACCATTAGGTTACGAGGCCAACACCGTCGACTATTCAGACAACTGGGCCGAAATTCTTTGGCTCGTAGATTCTGACTTTGTCAGCTTGTGATATAGCGTTATCCTCAACTGATGCCTTCAATAGACATCTACTTCACTATTAACACAGTGGGCCCCACAAATCAAAATTTCCCGGCATAGCTTCGGGACATCTGCGTCAAGCGGTTCAATGGTTAACGAGCTTGATGTCATTACAGGAGGGTGCTGAGTTCTGTTCCCGGTGGGTATCTGGACGGCTGAAATATACAAAAGACATTCCATCTATCTCACTTCTCTTGAGTATTATTAAAAGTTGAACCAGAGTGACAAATGCGACAAACAAAACATCCATCTAGCTTTGGCAGCACAACCAACCAACTGAGGGTGTCATCTTTAGCTTCTTGATTGATTTGATTCTCTGATTTGCGGAAGTTAAAACAAAGAGATAAATAACAGAAATATTTCATGGGATAAGAAACTGGTGAAACTATTGCGTTGTGACTGTGTATTGCTATAATTTTTTAGTATTCCAGGAAACTCTTACTGGTAACACTTCCACTTGATTTGGGAAGACATATTACGCGAAACGCCTGTGTGGCTTTGTCAAATAAATTTGCTATGTGACGCAATAATTTCTTAAGTTTCAGTTTCACAGAGAGAGGGGAGGGAAATATGCATAACAGTTGAAGTGTTGAGCAGAATAACATAAGAGCGGTTGGTTGCAGTGTAGTTTTTAGACCTCAGTGTGCGTTTCCTCGTGAGTTTGGAGTGGCGTATATCGTCAAACACTCTTTTAGGTAGGGTAGACGCCTAAGTCTTAATAATACCATCGGCATTTTAAAGCCCTTGGCTCCCTTCTCTCGGCCGCGAGCACTGCTTGGAAAAAATAGGCCAGGATATCAAGTGTGATTTCTCAACCTAGGCTTAAAGAAGAAACGCCATCAGAATATTTCCGTGATATTAACATTTACATAGGACTGAAAATGTACTGATTTCGAGTTCCAGAATATTATATGAAGTTCCGCACAGGCGATAAAAATTTTCTGGTTGAGAAATTTATTGATAACACTTGAAATACATTGTGTTTCTATTTGAGTGGAAATGTTTGTTTGTACACACACTAGTTACAGACCTTGAGAGTCGCGGCGTTGCGCAATTGTCGTGTTTTGATTTCAGCTATGGAGTTTTCTATCCCAGTTGAACAGATCGGTTCGGAACACCAAAAAATTCCAGTAATGACGATCATATGAAATAACCTTTTCCTTAGGCACTACTTATTCGAATTGACAAGACTTCGTGTACGATAAAATATACTCAAAGGTTAGTCATTCGCCAGATTGGCTTTGCGAATGCAGTAGCTTTACAGTTGTAGCTGAAATTCCCCAAACTTTTCTTGAAAACCGGCACTCTTTTAAGCAATACGGATGGTGCTCTTTTGCACAACTAAATATTATGTCAACATGTGGATATAAAGGCTATTGGCTTCATGACGTTAAAGTTTCTGATTTAGTTGATTTGTTTGAAAAGATCCAAGTAAAATTTGTCAGAAGTATTTGCCTCGTTTCAGCACATCGCTATTCACCAGAGTTTGTTTTTTCACCTGACCTAACACTTGCGTCATGACAGATGGCAAATGTTCTACGCTGGTACTCCGAAAGTTCGTTCTGAACATAGCACTGTGCTGATTTGATTCGTTTTAAAGCAAATCAACAAAATTAATTCAAGCTGTTGTCATTAAGTTTGTGACGTATCTTAAGAACGACATGTAAGAAAGTACTTTTTTGATGAGGACAAACCAGAAGATGAATGAGAGTCACAATTCGTCGGTGTGTAAGGCTGCATTCATTCAAGTCTTATCATTACCCAGTTCACTATCGTTCATTTTAATTATCAACAACTTCCAGCACTTATTCAAGCAACGTAACCATTCAGCTGTTTTTTGTGGTGTTGACTTGTGAGACTGACTGTTGTGTTATATTACAAGACTGACTTTTTCATTGTTTAACTGTGTAGTTACTTGTAGCTAATAATTCCTGGCTGTTAGATTATACTTGTTCGACCTCATCGTGCAGCTGTTTTTTGTAACCGTTCACTTTGGAAAAAGCGTGAGTTTAGCTACACAAAGTATCATACATAGAAAGAACCCAGTTTATGACGTCAGTGTGCAACATGAGTGAAAGTTTAAGAGGAATTATTAAACTCCAGTTGTAGTAGAATACAATGGTTGGGGTTAGAAGTGATATCTACCTCTGACGACCCAAGTCAAAGAACTTTTTAGCTACTGGAAATAGACAGTTTCCTTCTGAATAGGTCGACTTCTGTTTTGGACGTGATTATTACGGTTGATTAAAGTGCAGAAGTCAGACAAGTGTTGTACTTCTAGAAAAAAAAATTCTCTCGGAACATTTTGGGTCTTTTTATCCATAAGGCCTGTATTGATTAAACGCCTAATATGAGCTTAGGGTAATTGCTTGACAACAGGTGGGTTTGAGCTCTCGTCCTTGTTGCATCAAATGAATCTGCAGTAATCTGACTGTATGCTGATTTTAAGACGGCACTTTTCAGGTGCATTTTCATACTGGAGGAAGTGTACTTATGAGAACAGTTGTGAGTTCGACTCCACATTTAGACACCTTAAATACCGATTTCATTTTTGCTGAAATCTGTCATGTATGTACTTACGTTTGACTTTCGATTTTAAGGTGGTATGATATTAATTCGGTGTACTCAATAAACTAATACTGGACTTTTTGTTTGAAGTATATTCCTCAACCACCTGACGTTAAATGTCTCAGGACTGTCGCGTGATCAGATGAAGTGATCTAGCGATATGCACAAATATCTGGTTTTCTTCCGTCTATCGGCGAACTATGTAATCGCGTAAATGCATTGTTATATATATATATATATATATATATATATATATATATAGTCGTGACACTTATTCAATCCGTCTTAGTATAATGTAGGCTCTGAACAGGTCAGTTGAATGTTTTGCAAACTTAGGAATCTACAGTTAACATGGTTTGTTACTGTTTATCAGTTATTTATCTCAGCTGAATGAGTGTGTGGTTGAAAGGCTTAGACCAAGTAGCACATGTGCTTCTTCGTCATGTATATCCTACCTTCTTTTTCGTTTGAATTAATTTTAGTGTGCATTATTTCTAGCGTCAATGTGCTTCCTAACTGGGTAACCTCCGTCATTGTGAAGTGCACTGGCGTAAATTGGTTTCAACAGTTCTAGCGTAGTTTGTCAGAAATAAAACACCATTTAATGCTTGTAGTGGCATTTCTAACATTTGGCCACTTCACCTTGTTCTTATTTTTAAATATTCTTTTGGTTTTGTTAATGGATACTTATTGTGCTCTTGAAAATTTATTTACAGTCATACGCCTATAAAAGTTGGCTTATCTGAGTTGCAGCTATCTCCCAATGCGTTTTCCACTAATGAAGAACAAACTGCCCTGTCCGGCTCAATGCAAAATGGTGGTTCAGCGAATCAGTCCTTTTCACCTCGGGACCCTATCGAGGTTTGGCTTGACTCCGGTTCTACTCAGAAGAAAAAGAACGTAACGGATTCAGAAACAAGTGATTCCTTAGAGACAGTGTCCAACGGGCCACCTGGAGCATGGTGGCCTGGCCGTGTTCTTACGATACAAGGTGGTTTCGCCCATGTAGAGGTATGATTGCTTGTGCCATTTCAGTAATATGGCATTTTTGGTGATAAGTGGTAACTTTGTGAAACCTCAGATTACAGTCTCATATTGGTAACTAGATTTAAATGAGTGTGATTGCGTTTTCAATAACTGTATACTCTTAAGTTCTAAGGTAGTAATTCATGAGCTTCGACTATTTACTTACTAAATGATGCACCAGACAGCCGTATAAGCGTGCTTTTCAAGTACATTTAAAGGGACGTCGAATACTGAAGTAGGGAAATTAAGAGAACTGCAAGATTTTCATCATTGCTTTCGATTCTGAACGATTTAGTCTCAATAGAATAGGTCACGACCTATTAGACTTCACCCAAAAAGCCGTGATACTCCACTGGATGTTGAGTCAATACAAATGTCTTCATACCATGGCGTACTTTCTGAGATAACTTCATCAGCTTCCATCCAGACTCAGGATTAGTAAACAGTAGACGGTATAGAAGCCGCTAGGGCGATATTCGTAACACATGTCCAAGCCTTTCGAAACTTACTCTGCGAAATAGCCTCACCTATTGAAAAACGTTTCTCAGTATACGTGTGTGTGTCTTAAAACTTCAGAATTGATTACATTGAAAGACCACAGGCTATGCATAATCTTGCTGTGACAATGCTTGAACACAGTCTCCACGCATCATTAGATAAGAGGCTAGGTTTCACAAGCGCAGAGATATACTGCGCTCACCAAAACGTTATAAGCCCGTCTAGAATAACATAATTGTACAAAATGTAAGGAAAATCTACGTATGCGACTCTATTTTTTCTAATGCTGCCGAAAGTCGTATCTGTCACACCTCTACTACCCAGACAGCTACCTAAATTCAGGGACTGCTTTAATCACCTTAACTGTAAAGATGAGTGCGAACCAATGTCATACCAGCACTTTAAATTTAACCTGCAAAACACATATCGTTCGCTATGTTACTGTTTGGGAAGATTTAATGTCACTTCGCACCGTATAACTGCACTTTGATTTATGCAAGTAAGATATTGGTGAAACTAACGAACAAAAGCAGTTTAAGTTTATCTAAAGACCCACCAATGTAGGTAGATTACAAGTTACGTTTTCCACACATCCGATTGTGAAGATGTAGCTCATTTGTTTTAGCACACAGCTGTGAGCCGATGTGTCTAGGATTTGAATACCACTCCACCTACTTCACACTGAGCAACTGGATATTATCATCGGCCCTAACGTAATAAGTGTCCTATTTTCCAGTAATGTGAAGAATATGTGCTAGGTAGCTGGGTTCTTTATTAACGTTATGCGTAATCTGTTTTGTCTCAGTAAGACAGATAGTGTGTTACTTAGTAAACGCATTCATCTTTTCACTTCAGGTTGCTGCCCCATTGCAAGAATTTACAGGGTGGAGGATAAGCCGACTGCACATGCGATACCTCACTTGATTGGAGTTAGTTCTGTCTTGCCTTACCGTTCTACCCTTGTAAAAGTTGAAGAAATCCGAATTCCTTGGAATGGTAAGACCTCTGCTGATCGGTCGCAAGGTAACAATTTGGCGACAAGTCTCCTCAAGGACGGTTCAACCGAACCAACTAATTTACTGGCACCTGGTATTCTTCACCGTCACAGTATTTGTATTCCGGCTTATTTGTCCCGAGTGTAAGTCCATTTCAAATTTTTCTCGAGTTCCAAATAGTTCATAGGGTTGGTAAACTATTTGTTTTAATAGGTGTTTGTGTCATTCCTCTACTATTTGGTACATATGACAAGATAGAAAAAACTGTTGAAGTAGTATGTATAACGAATGTAATATACAAGTTTTTGACAAGTATCCAGTACAAAGTTTCTCGAATCTATGAATATATGTGATTGTGTTCATGATATACTTAACTACGGATATTTTCGTTCGTAAATTTATGTCCAACAGCACTCACTTTAGTAGCCGACTAGGAATCTCTTTATTTCTTCAGTGAATAATTATCATGTCACATAATTAACAACACAAGTCAGGAGACAAATCCCTTCATAACTTCATTTCCAAGCCTCACAGTTATTACTGTCAGTTACAAAATAAACAAAGTGTATTAGTAATAAGAATGTTTAAAAATCTGAGAATAATCTCACAAACAGTAGGAGAACAAAGCAGTGAAAATGGGTTGCAAAGCAAAAAATAATAAAAAGGACTAAATAGTGTTCACCATATAGGTATTTAGGGAAACAAAAAGGAAGAAAAATAACACCTAGGGCCAGGGTAGTAAAACAGGTTGGAAAAAACGTCAGTGAACACAAACTTCAGGTCTCTCCTCATGGATTGCTAAAGCTTTGGCTGAATAAAGATGTAGACGAAATCGTATGGAACAACGTGGTCGTACTTCATGTATGAGTGAAGGAAGTTTTGGCTGATGCTACCTTTAGCAAGTAATACTGTGCTCTAGTACACAAGACCAGGTTATCACTGGGGGGGGTGGGTGGTGATCAACGATCGGTATCTCAAATTTCCACGCACTATGTGTTGTTTGTGTTCGATTGGTAATTCATCACTAACCTTGAACACTTCTCAAGTAAGAAGACCAGGTCTAGATACTTGTTTTGAAAGTAAAGGTAGTATTCGCGAACTTGGAAAGATGATGGCCCGTGTTCACATCTCATCCAACCGTACTGCACGTGTAGTCCACTTGAACTCCTCTCAACCTTCTGCTTACTGTTCTAGTCGTATCTTTTGAGGGGTTATTGAAGGCGAAAAAGAGTGTGGAGTATTTTTACAAATAGACTGAATGTAGTATCATCTATTTTTGCCTCAAAGTATTTTACGCTGATCGATGATAATTACAATGCTTATTTGAAGAAAATTAAGTAGGTGGAACAAGCTCTTGAACCTATGCGACACTGCGTTTGTTATAACTATTTCTTTTCAAAGAACAGTGTTAAGTAGAATGACAGTACTAAAAAGGGTAAAATAACAAGCCTAGATAAAAAATAACGAAAGGTGCCCAATGATAACTTTTTAAAGTGCATGCATGTGCCCTGCTGCGATTTCATTCTGGTAGCTATTTTCGAACAAGCCAAATAATCCGAAAAATTTTCTTCATATCAAAGTAAAGAGAACCACTTAGGGGTTAGTTTTATTGTAAATGGCACAATGTGAACACAGACACATACTTGTGTACAGCTGTATACATTTTCTGAATGGCTGGTTGCACCCTAGTCCATATATATATATGCATGTTGTTAAGTTCTGTCATAATTGTTTTGAGTGGTCAATGTGTGGCATAAAGTTTTCTGTAATTAAAAGAACTTGTCTTGGTTAATCGATGAAACGCTTAAGTGTATGAGATTGAATACTCCGGTGATTTCGCCCCAGTCTAAAGTTCACTGTGGGGTTTACTAAGAACTCCAACATATATGCTTTGTTCGAGCAGATGAAGAAATTGTTCATGTACACGTAACGTGTTCAAGCTGTTGGCCAAAAGTATAATTTCCGATGTTTTGTATGCTACTACTTGAGAATGCTTGTTTCCATCAATCCTTTTCGAGCTGTATCTAATATTTGAATATTGTGGATTTCGTTCCGCTAAAGCTGTTGATATATATTATAAATGTTAATCAAGGAAATGTCCTTTTTTTTAGAGCAACTACTCCGGAATCGCATGCGACTATAGCCAAATTTTGTGGCGCCCCATGTCTTATTCAGTCTGACTCTGAACCATTCCTCCCGGGCACATTTGCAAAATCGATATTAGGCGAAGAAGGATGTAATGAATCTGGGCAAAACACTCCAGCTCATGGTGATTCAGGATCAGTAAGCCCATCACTGTGCCTATCTACATACACGTGGCCTTCACCCCCCTTAATATCTCAATCAGCCATTATGAATATTCCGCATATCGCAGGTACATTGAGTCCGGCTGGCATAACTGACCCAAATATCTTGTTGACCGGTTTGCCTGGAGCTAACGGACCACTTGTACTGTTACATATTTGGTCTGGTTCTGCCGAAGCTATTCGACGTGCAACTTTCTTGGAATTAGGTCATGTTCGTTTATTAGCTGTCAGATACCATTTGGTAAGTTTGCGAAATTAAAATTATCTTTACATAAGATGTAGAGAATAATTGTTTTCAACATTGTTATATCAGTGCTGTTCATATAACAGGTTTGTTTCTAATATTCCTTATTGGATACTAATGAAGCTTAGTTGAATGAATCCCAATTTTCGGTTCTTCTACTGACCTACAGATGAATAACTATTTGGTAGTCATAAACTATTTTAATTCAAAATAGAGGTCATTCATTTAACTGCCGATTTTTAGTGTGTACGTCAATCATGGTCATCGCAGACGCAAAAGACCCATCCTATATATTTTCACATATTCCGTCTCTGACTACAGTCACAAAGCCACTGTTGTGCTTACGATACAACAGTGAAACCTCTCCTAATTTATCACTTTTTTATGACCATTGAAAGCACAATATGTGAGAAATTCAGGATATTACATTTGGTTATCAGATTTTTGTAGGATGAAGTTTTAGTTACATCAGCCGACTGAGTTTTAAATCTTCAACTGAGGTGATGTTGTTACATATACGATACCATTGCCTTCTATGCCAAGTAATTTTTAGTCAAAAAGGACCAAATTGCAAGAGTTAAAAGTTGTGTGGCGAAGAATATCACAGTTTAGAAATTCTTTGGCTGGTCTATATGAAGTGTTGTGAATTTTCTAATGAGGGTCGTCAAGTTGCTGAGGATCCCGTATAGTACACTTCTGGTGACATAACTTGAGGTCGATAACAGTGGTGCAGACTTACGTATTCATTATCATCGATATCATGCACAGACATGACTATCATCGGGTTTAAAGAATGTCGCCTCTCACCTATTGACTTCTAGTACTTATATGCCCGACCGGAAGCTGCTACCTTGACGTGGTGGTCGGGCTTGAACACCGCAATGATCTATTCAAGCTATACTGGCTGAGACTTATGTCTCTTGAGGTCTACCATGCCAGGCAGGTTGTTTGGATAGCGGTTAAACAAAAAGCAGCTACCCAATCCAACATCATGTCCAATACAAAATCACAAAATTTCATGCCGGATCGGCCGTGGCCCGGATTAACAACGACCGCGCTTCCTGCTGCCGTGTCACAGGGCAGGAGTGATAAATATGCTACTGAGACACACCAAACAAAAAAGAACGAACAAAAACAGGCCGCGTGTGACCGGCCTCAAGCAGTTGTCCCCTGGGCTCTGCGGTCACGCAACCAACTTCCACGGTGTGGGCAGCCGGGAAGTAACAATCGCCCTCACAATCCGAAATGCACACGAAACCTCTCTATTACTCACTCATCTTTGTCTTCATCTTCATCTCTATCATCTTGCCTTCCTTCCACTGATGCAACTCCTCGACTTGATAGCTCTCCACTTCCTCTCCACTCTGCGTCCACTAAAAACGATGGAAGCCAAAAACACCACCGACAGCCTCTTAAAGCCGCGCCACCAATTTCATATAGGAGCTCTTAATGTTAGGACACTTTGCCAAATAGGACAACAAGCATCACTAGCCAAGACCCTGGCATCACGAGCCATTGATGTATGCTGTGTTTCAGAAACACGCATACAAGACCCAAGTGTGGTTATTCACCTAACCCCACCTGGCCAACAGGTTGAATCTGCAAAATTCACCTTGAGGGTGTCAGGAGATGCCACAGCTAGTTCACGAGGATTAGCTGGCGTAGGGATAGCTTTGAGTACTAGGGCAGAAAAGACATTGCTTGACTGGATCCCGGTAGATAGCCGAATGTGTGCTGTCCGCCTGAACGGATCAGTAAGAAGGAGGAAGGACTGCACTACTCGCCGATGCCTTTTCGTAATCTCCGCCTACGCCCCCACTGACTGCAGTTCAGATGAAACGAAGGATGAGTTCTACCAAAAGCTGTCTAGTTTGGTGGAAAGGCTAAACGCTCAGACATAGTCGTTCTAGCTGGTGACTTTAACGCTCAAGTAGGGAAATTGTGTCAATCTGAGAAGGATGTCGGTGGCACCTATGGAGTTCCGTGCCAGCGAACCGACAACGGTGACCGTCTCCTACAGTTCTGCTCTGATAATCATTTGTTTCTTGTAAGCACTAACTTCAAACACAAGGAGAGACACTGTTTGACTTGGAGACCCCCTTCATCAAACCAACGCTGGACACAAATAGACCACATAGCAATAAGCTATCGTTGGCGTGGGTCGGTAGGAGATTGTCGCTCCTTCTGGAACACGTGCGTAGATACCGACCATGCACTGGTCCGCGCTCGGGTGTGCTTACGACTGAACGGACGTAGGAAACAGCTGGCGGTAAAACCATCACGTCCCCAGCTCGATCAGGAAACTAAATCCGTATTTGAGGAAGAACTAGCTAAACACATATCTGTGTTCGACAGCTGTGCTCACCCTGAAGAAGCTTGGAAAAATATCCAGGCAGCCATAGATACAGCTGTAAAAGCTGTGAATAAGGTAAACCCAAAGGTGAGTAAAAACCACTGGATCTCCACCGCCTCATCCGAACTGATAGATGCTAGAAGACTTATTCCGGCGAGCTCCGAATTCAATGAGGAGCGAAAGCTGCACAAGAGGAAACTTACGAAAAGTCTCCGCAAGGACCGTGAACAGTGGTGGGCGACAAAAGCCAAAGAGATGGAGAAAGCTTCGAGGATAGGCAACACCAGGCAACTCTTTGGACTCATCAGGGAAACGGGTGGGAGAAGACAAATCATTAGTGAGACAATCTCGGAAAAAAATGGCACTATAATTAGCTCCCAGGATAGACGACTGGATCGTTGGAAAGAGCATTATGAGGAGCAGTTTAATTTGCCCACAGCCACGCTCAACCTTCCGAGCATCCAACACCTCCCTGAATGGGATATAGACACAGGTCCTCCGTCACTAACTGAGGTTACTAAAGCTGTCACCAATCTGAAACTAGGCAAAGCAGCGGGACCTGATGGAATGACTCCAGAGGTATTTAAGTACGGTGGAGACAGCTTACTGTCCGGATTAACTGAGGTACTAGGCAGCGTCTGGGAATCAGAAGAAGTCCCATCGGGTTGGTGTAAGTCACTGATTATCCCCATATACAAGAAGGGAGACAAGTCTTCCTGTGATAATCACAGAGGGATTAGCTTGACTAATATAGTATCTAAAGTCTTAGGCTCAATAATCATGCGTAGACTGAGTGGTGCTCGGGAAGCACAAACACGAGAGAGCCAGGCAGGCTTTAGACCAGGAAGAGGGTGTATTGATCATATCTTCACCCTCCGACAGATTCTAGAACATAGGCATTCCTACCGGCGTCCAACAGTCATTATATTTCTTGACCTAAAGGCAGCATTCGACTCTGTCGATCGGGAAGTTCTCTGGAGATGCTTGGCTGTAAAGGGAATTTCGAGAAAATATATTGCACTGATTAAGGCACTCTACTCGTACTCATACAGCCAGGTGAGGGCTTACGGCGAGCTGTCATCTGAACTGATGACGACCAGTGGTGTCCGTCAAGGATGCCCATTATCTCCTTTTCTATTCAACTTCATCATAGATGTGTTAATGGACTTAACCCTAGGTGACTTCAGCGACTCAGGGATTGACTTGCTACCGGGGAATAATCTCGTTGACTTGGAATATGCAGACGATATAGTCCTTCTAGGCGAAGACGCTGACGAAATGCAGAGTCTTCTAAACACCTTGAGCCGCAATCTACGAATGTTTGGCATGCGATTCGCTCCCGCCAAATGCAAGATGATGTTACAGGACTGGACTACATCGACGCCTAGTTTAAAAATAGGAAGTGAAGTGGTAGAGCACGTTGACCGCTTCACTTATTTGGGAAGTACCATCAGCCCCAACGGGCTGATCTCTGACGAAATCTCAGCACGAATACAAGGGGCTCGTTTCGCATTTGTTAGTTTACGCCGACTCTGGCGTAGACGAGATGTTCGACTATCGACCAAAGGGCGGGTGTACTGCTCATCAGTCCGCTCCGTCCTCCTTTATGGTTGTGAGACCTGGCCACTGAGAGTGGAAGACATGAAAAGACTAGCTGTCTTTGATCATAGGTGCCTGCGTTCTATTTCCCGTGTAAAGTGGCATAATAAGGTGAGCAACATGGAGGTTAGGCGTAGAGTTCTAGGTAAACAGGGGAAATCAATCGACGAAGTCGTGAAGCTACAAAGACTGAGATGGTTAGGACATGTGTTACGTATGCCAAGCCATCGCCTCCCTCGACGAGCAATGTTAGCGGATATAGGGTCAGGCTGGAAAAAAGCTAGCGGCGGTCAAACAAAAACTTGGCATCAGTCAATGAAATCCACAACAGTTGGTCTAAGCCACGTAGGAAGGTGTAGACTTCCAGGCTGGGGTCCTCGGGACGGTAAAAATCTATGGTTGGAAACAATTGGTGACATGGCTCAAAATCGTTCTCAGTGGCGCAGATGCATCCACTCCCTGTGACTTATGATCTTCAATGAAACTGTTTTGTATTTCTTTATTACTCCTTTGTCTCACACCTCTGCTCACTGTTTCTATTATGCTTTTCTTGTACTTTCTTCTCTTGCTTCGCGTGCTACACGGAATGTGGCGACTTGAACTTCCGCACATTTGTGCAAAGTTCTATGTCGAAAACAGACAGACAGTACTTATATGCTAGGGAACTCATATCACTTGAAAGAAACTAGTTTTAAACTGTTCAAATTTTATTTACTTTCCAGCTTCGAAACCTGTCTAAAGGAGAGACAGGAGAATTGGAATTATCCAACACTGCTGATTTTGATGCAGAAAATGGTGATACACCAGTAATGCACTGCAAGCCCATAAGTATGCCAGCTTCTGCTTCAAACGATAAACAATCGTCTAGAGGAATGATTATTGGGTATCAATGCCGTTTCCGCATTTTACCACATCTTATCGGTCTCGCAATTGGCCACCGTGGTGCAACTATTCAAGAGGCTCGAGCAATACCTGGGGTTCGTGTAGTAGATCTTCTTTACGATGGAATAGTGCATGTCGAGGCTGAGGTGAGTCTATGCATCGAAGTATCTGTCGAATTTTCCCGCCTTTTAAAGGTAAAACGTTAGTATTAAAGTGATATAGAATGTCTAACTTTCCATACATATAACTTCGATAGTGAATAAAGTGATTCTTAGTGATGTGCTTACTAAATCCTTTTCCTTCAAATAACTTTAGTTTATTTTCCTACTTTATATATTCTGTTGTATGCTATGTAAACGGTGAGATAATATAAAAGAGTCACAAGGCTATATATCAGGGGTTCAGTAAAAGAAATTGAAGTCAACAACTAGAGGGGAAGAAGCTCTGGGAATAGCAATACAACTTGAATTATCTAAGTAAACAACTTTTAGTACAAAGTAATATGGTGAGTAGTAAGGATGTTTTAAGTAAGGGTTTTGGTTCAGAGACTAATAAACCGGTAAGAAAGTTTATTTTTACAAAGTTAACTGACTGCAAAACAAAAAGGTTAATCGACTAAGCTTGAATACCAGGACTCCTTTTAGGGTGACATTCAGAGGGTCTGTTTGTTAGCATAGGATAGCAGTTTATCTAATTGTCGACTACTGTGAAGTAGTGAGACATTCATAAATAGTCATAGTTATTTACTAATTCATATACCGACATCCTGTAGCTTAGAAAAGAGCAAACAACAGGTATACGGATACCAGTTAAAATCTAAAGAAAAGATTACAAGCATATAAAAGAAAAATATTCAACTTCAAGGGAGTTGAGTTCCTACCACTAATCTTGGTTGTGTTTTGATCATATCGGCATTTATGTAGATGCTTCAGGCCATATAAACTTCATAAGCTAGTAATATGCCTTCATTTGATCACTCTAATTTGCCTTATCCTTCTTTAGCAATCACTTGGAGTGAACCAAGCTCACTAGGTATAAGTTACACATTTTCCAACCTCTCTGTAGGCTTCAGATAGTCGTAACTAAATTAAAAAGATTTACATTAAATACGTATCATACACTTAATTTATGAAATTTCTGGAGTTTATCTGTCTCATGTCAGTATGTACAATAAAGGTACTTGTGACGCATCCCACAAAAGTTCCAGATATTATCTATTATGTTCCAGTGATACATTCAGTAGTTACTTTCAATCGATATGATTTTTGTATACATAAGTTACGCGGTACCTGGTGAATACTGAAAATGTTTTTGTATACATATTGGGCGATGGTTTTATGATTTGGCGTATCAACCATGTAACATTTATTAACACTAAGTTTTGTGCTGATAATGACTGTTGACCATTGTTTCACTAGTTCAATCTACGAATAATACCTACAGTGAATTGTATCTCACATCATTAGCTGTAGGATATTCGCCTATAGGGATTTAAATGGAAATCATAAATTAAAAAACATTTAGTTTCAAAATTGAGTGTAGCGTATAAAGATTATTTTCATTATTTGCAATTTCATTTTTTAGACAATCGACGCTTGTCACTCTGTCCGAAACCTGCTAGATTTTACAGAAGTTGAAATTCCCGTTCAACCACGATTAGCAAGTCGACTTATTGGATCCAAAGGGATGAATATTCGTAAGTTAGCAGAAGCTGCAGGTGTTCGTCGAGCTGAATTGTTGGATCCTGTTACCAGAAAACGTAGACATATGGCACAACGTCGGAATCAATTAGCAACCCTTGTTGAAAAGAATCAGACAAGTTCTGTGACGGATGATAAGGCAAATGAAGAAACTTCAAACGGTGAAGGAATGAACAACGGTAATGATAAAGTTACTGTCAACTTAGATGTCTGCTTGGAAGGCAACAAAGACTCCGATGAAGTCGTTGATCTGCCTCCTGCTTTTTCGCTTGTTGGTACACGTTCATCTGTCGCAAAAATGCGTTTGCTTCTGGAATTTCAAGCGGATAATTGGAATGAATTAGATGAATTAGAGGTATGCTATTTGTAAAGTTAGAAATGAAGTAATTACGTCTTTCCATTTACCTTTTACTGGTCTATTTTCCTCAAGAGGGTATCTCACTTTTTAATATAGGTATTTTAATTTGTCATAAACACTCACTAAGGCATCATTCAATAGTGGCTATTAGTTATTGTAAAATATTTCACTTTACTTTTATTTAGATTACCTATTTACCAATATTTTCCATCAATTTTTCTGTGGTCTCACATTTTGATTTAGGAAACTCGAAGGACGTTATTTAGTCAGTTACGTCAAACTACTCAAATGACCAACAAGGCGGATTCCCTTTCCCCTGGACGCTCCTCCAATGGCAGGTCCATCAGAGGCGGAAATTTTGGGTGAGCTAATCCACTAGATTGATGGTCGCATACTTTCGATTTATGCAGTCTTAATGTCCGTTAATCTTAGCTGTTTTAGACGCTCTTAATTCACCAGTTTTATATATATATATTCTCCTACTGTCGTGTTTATTTTTAAACATTCATTCAATAACTGTTTAATTCAGCTACTGGAAACACTTGACCTTTGGAATGTGTGGGACTGGATATTCTATTCCCATGTGCATCATATGTTGTCAAACCTTCCTCCTTCTTGATATGCTTCTCTTGTATTTTCTCGGTATTATTCTTTGTCGTCGATGGATATTGTCAGATAAAATTAGTTGACACTTGTCTAAAGACAACTGCAAACAATACGTCATTACTGGAAGATAGTTTATCCTGGTGTTTTTTTAAAACAAAATCTAATACGGTTCACTTTTCAACCATGCTTAGAAGTTCACCCTACCTGTAACTGTAACTAAGTACTACGCCATTTGAAGGAAGTAACGGGCATCTGTTATAAGATCATTCATTAGGGAATTGTTCTGAAACTATCCTCGTCATATGTCTGCTAAATCAGTGGGCATTACCTTCACATTAAGAGATGTAGCAGGCTTCGAGCGCCAGTGATTTTATCCACAAATTAAGTTCGTGACATGGTCTATGACTTCAAAATCAGACCCGAAACATGCTGCATATAATATATCGGTTCAAAATAGCTTATTGATCTCATTGATATTTTTGATCAGCTGTAGAGTACTGGTTATTATTTCATCCTTCATTCTATGTAAATAGATGTATTTTACATATTTATCATTTTCAGTAGAAACAGACCGATGGGTCGTGGTGGCCGTCTACCAGACAATTCAATTCCCGATCAGTCCACGGATAATACAGAAATGTCTCGTCCGCCTAATTCACGCGGACAGCGTCCACGTGGCAGAAGCACTCATCAGTTTGATGTACCTAATGGTTCTGTGAGGAATCGTCCACACCCCAACAACGATGTACAAGATAGCTATTCCAATGGTATACTGAATTATTAAATGCTTATACTGTTCATTGTGTTTGCTTGTTTTATTACTCTTCTAAAGCATCAATCGATGTTATGCATCGTGCAAACCATTATAAGTTATTATATGCCATCACAATTCCTTTTGAACTGCGAGAACCTTTCCGTTTGTTATTCCCTGTGTGATTGATAATTTTCAGAGTTTTTTTTTCGATCATCTTTATGTCATCGTCTACTTGTTAGGAATAAACTCATCATTCATGTACTCGGCAAAGATATCAGTGTTGCAGAATAATAATGTGCATAAATTGACGCTTTTAACTGCACATAAATATTGGCTTACGGTATCGAGCACCTTGCCAAGACTTTTAAAACGCTTCAGAACTTTGAAGGTATTCTAATTTTGACATATTTGTCGTCATTTATTTTGAAAGTCATATACCGTCAGCCAAACAGATAATAAAATCATGATCGCTGGCATTATTTGTAACGTTACCGAATAAGGTTAACGTCGAGTAGCAGTTCATTTTTGAACATTGTATTGCTAAAATAAGAAGAACACTGCCTATATTTTCTGCTGTTTAATTCTGGTTTTTAATCTCCTGGTAATAAATTATGGTCACATAAAAGATTGGTTGCCATTCGTCATATTTAAGCAGAACTTGGATTTTCACTATTCTTTGTTGTATTTTGAACATTGAACTAATATATTACCCAGTGTTTCGTGGATAAGTCATTCTTTCTGTGTTATATTCCTAGTCGTGGTTTCCAAAAAACCATATAGCACATATTTTTTCTTTTCTTAGTGTCTCTAGTAGTTTTAATCTAAATTGCAGGTTTTTTTGTAATTTTTAGGTGTAATGTCAACTGGTGATCATGAAAAACATCAGAGTGAACCGGGTCATGGTAATTTTGAAAAGAATTCTGATCAGGTATCAAGACAAGGCTCTGGTATCCCCAGACGTGGGCAAACTCGTAATAAAACAAGAGCAAGTTAGATATTTGAAGAAAAGTCGAAACTCGTTACTGTGTTCTACTCCGGTTTTATTCTACAATTTGTGTTGCATAAAGGGACTATGTTTTAGGTTATATTGTGCTTTTTTAAAGTTGTTTTTTTGCAAAAATTATTGATCAGTAAAAAACACTGTGTAGATTGTCTTCCTTCTCTTAGCATGAATGTGCTTTCATTTTCGCATTGTTTTATTTTCAATGGTGATAGACACCAAAGTTTCAGATTTTTGCTTAGTCTTCAAAGTGCATTTACACACAAGCCACATTTGTGTAATTAGACGCCACTTTCTGTTTCTTTATGACAACCTCACACTTTTAAAATTGGACGTTTCAATTAATATAACAATGGCATGCTGCCCCCTTTTAAAACATCCTCGGGTATATTTTTCCTGATGAAATAAGACTACTGTTTAAATTTTTTTCGTGTGTGTGTTTTGTCTTTTGATTTCAAAATGTCATGGGCTATCCTTTAACTCAGGTTTAAGTTCTCAGGCAGTATTGATTGAGACACAAGCGTATCTCACTCTGTAAGTGAATAAAATCATTTGTTTCTGTGTATGCATTCTAGTTAGTAATATAAATATCAAGTCACCAGCCACTGTGAATAACCAGGAATAAACCCCTATTTGTATCTTTGCAATTCCATCAAACTGCTAACAGCTCGATGTACTATGAATACAACCAATACTTTGAGGTCCATCACGTTCACATAGGTCTTCAAGGTAGGGACTTGAAGTTACGGTAGCAATGGTGTTTATCATGCCCAACCGCCCCTCTCTATCAGCCTTATTACTGCCTTAGCGAGGTAAAGTAGTGCGTCGGCCGGACTTCGAACCCTAGACCACATGAGGCGTAGTGAGCGAGCATTCTACCGCTGTGCCACCGACGCATATAATTCCATGTTAGATCCGCTTATCAGACATAAAACCGAAGGGGTGCAGTATCGATAATAGGTTGAAGTTCCGAGCATAATGTATTCCTAAAACCCATGTCTCTAATATGATCATGAACAGCAAATTGTCATCGAAATGTTACGTGGTTATAAAGTAGTTACTTGTAGAAACCCAGTGGTTCCCACCGACTCAATGATCAACGCCGCAACCAGCTTCATTTACCACCTTCCATATGCCTCTAAATTCCAGTCAGTATCCGTCTACATCATTTCACTCGTATTGTCTACCACAATGTTTATGAAAGGCATAAGGATGCGACATAAACTTGGCACACAACCAGCATCCAGTAGAGTGCTCAAAGAAAAGGGTAAGAGACTTGAGTTTGCCCACGACTTTGACGTCTCATATCAATATGATGTGTTTGGGTCCACGATGGATGATGACAGTCAGAACTGTGTTGATGCCTGTTCCGGGGGTTGGTGTTGCTTACGGATATTTAGGTGGGTGTTCGTCTGTGTGCAAAGCTGTAGAAGATAGATACCCGAAGTGTGCTTTCGAATGGCTAGTCAGCACGTCGGTATATGCTGAACATGTAATCTCTGACAACCTACTCGATTGACAGTAAAACTCATGCTCAGGTGTATTCAAGCTGCGATCCATCAGTGCATAGGCAACAACAATGAAAAGGCGATGCTTCTCTGACTGGTTCCTTCCAACTCAAGTATAACCTTCTAGCCTGGTGATCTAACGCGGAAGATCGAATGCAGGCACCTATATTCAAAGACAGCTAGCTTTTTCATATAACTCTTCGACTTTTAATGGCCATGTCTCACACAGAGATTAAGGGGGGCACAGTGAACTGCTGAGCAGTACACATGTGGTTTGATCGACAGTCAATCGGATATCACGTCTACTAAATTAGAGATGGTTCAAGTTGGCATATGCCGAACCAGCCTTCTGTATCCGTGCTGAGATTTCGTCAGTGGTCAACCCGCTGATGCAACTCCCCAAACAAGTGAATTGGTCAACACGCTCTACCATTTCACCGCCTATCTCCAGGCTAGGAGTCGAAGTAGTCTAGTCCTGTTGCACCATCTTACATTTGACCGACGGAGTGAATGGCATGCAGAACATTCGATGATTGTCGTCCAGGGTGTTCAGAAGACTCTGCATTCTGTACGTGTCTTCACCTAGGACGAGATCATGTGCGTATATTCCAAGTCAGCCTTTGTGGTGTGTCTGCAGCTAACTGTATATTGTAGCAGGTTTGCTCATGAGGAGTTCTTTTGTCGACCTGAGATACTTGTTTCGCTGTTTCTTTCCTAATTTAGGAATGTGTATTGATCTAGTTAGGTGCGCAACTACTTTTTATATCCCTTCAGTCGTAAGCATAAACTTGCACGAACCAAGACCTGTTCCAGAAGGACCTGCGTCAACGATAGCCTATCGCTATATGGTCTATTTTAGTTCAACGTTGATTCGGTGGTGGAGGTCTCCAGGTTATGGAATTTCTCTGTTTGTGCCTAAACTTCGTGCTGACTAGGAACAGATGAACAGAATTGTTGAATATGATCACCGTTGTCGGTAGGGGACTTCGTGCGTGCCACCTATATACTCTTCAGTCTGGTTTAACTTCCCTGCGCAGGCATGGAAGTCGCCTGTTAAAACTACTATATATGATAATAATCATTCTTTAGTTGATCCGAACTGCAGTCGGTTTGGGCGTAAGCGGAGACTATGAAAGGACAACGACGGGTTATGCCTTCCCTGCTTCTTCTAACAGACTCGTTCAGACAGGAGACACACGACTATCTATTGGTATCCAGTCAAGATGTAAATTTGCTGCTCTAACAATCAATGCTATCCCTACACCTGTGAGTCCTCGCCAACTAGCTGAGGTGTTTACTAACACCATTAAGGTGGAATTTTCAGATTCATCTTGTTGACCGGGTGGGGTTATGTGAATGACCACACTCGGGTCTTGTATGCATATCTGCGAGACGCAACATACATCCATGGTTCGAAATGCCACAATTCTGGCCAGTGATGCCTGTGGTCCGATTTGGCAAGGGGTCTGACGTTAAGTACTCCGGTATGAAGTTGGCAGCGTGGTTTGAGAGGCTATCAGGAGGGTTTTTTTGAATCTCATCGTTATTTGTGGTTACGGAAAAAATATAGATGACTGAATAGACTGCAGAATGGTGCTCCCAGTAGTATGCAAGCAGGATGATGAGCGTGACCGGGGTAGAGGAGAAGGATGAGCAAGAGGGTGCCTCCTGGGATTTAGGAGAGTGTGGGTTGCTCGTGATTCACGTACCTACGCAACGTATATATCTTAAGGTAGATATTAGGACCTACCCTCAGTGGTAGTAAACGCGTGGCCACATTGGACTATTTCGAGAGGAACACCGAAGTCTATTTATCATCTACAGTAACACGTGACATATTGCAGGCATGTATTATGTGGCAGCCATCCATTGATGTTCACTAGACTCTCTTGCTCCATAATACATCGATTTCCACAAGGAGATATCTGTACAATGTTTCATCTTACAGAAGTGTGTCATTGCTGACAGTGTCAGTCACTGTTTATTCCCGATAGCTTTAGAATCCAAATTAGCAACTGCTATTATCGAATACATAAGATACAACAGTGTGATCCATCTGCCTCGCGTCAAATAGACTTTATATATTCTAAAAATAACATTTACGAAACGATTTTCTCAGTTAGAAATGAGAGTCAGTAAATCTATATTCTGAACAATAGGATCTAAGCAGTGAGTCAAACAGAAATGAGCTATAGGAGATCAGGAGGTGGAGAAGTTGGTAATGTAAGCGTAAGTAGATTTTCAAATAAATCATGGACCTTTAGTTTATAAAGACAGGTCGACAGTATGATTGCATTGATGTATATACATCTACGCATGATATTCAGCGAAAACACAAAAGATGTAGTAGTTATTATCCGTCTCCCGTATTATGATTGACCATTCAGTAGATCTAATACACTATATATTCATTATGGTGACTACGAGAAAAAGGAGGGTTCTAATGAAAGTTATCACGAAAATTACCGATCTTATTATGAGAAAATCGTACAATAAAACGTGTGAGACATTGGAAGGAACGCGATCAGAGTACTGTGTGAATACCTATGAAGTTAGTTTTCGCAAAGAATTTTTATGACGGATTTTGTAATGCAGTCAACTTTAATTGTTCGGACTCTTTTTCTTTTGTATTACTCACGCATATTTCGAACCGAGTGCCTACAGACACTCGTGACTGTGCATAACTCACTCGAAAATGCATTCCTGCTAGATGGCATTTTTACTCTCATTGCACGAAAATCCCAATGTACTATAGCAAGAAGTCTTTGGAATCAGTCAAATGTCATTACTGTCAGAGAATGTAATTTTGATGGTATTTTGAGGGCACCATCAATACTTTTTTTTGATTACAGCTTGATTCCACACCGTATTTTTGGGACAAATGTGGAATTTTCAGCGTGGATATCGGTAGCCCTAAATTCGCAGGCCGACCATAGATATCAGGTGTGCGTCGGCGTGGGCTCGAACCCCGGACCATGTGCATGGTTGGCGAGAGTCCTAACCACTGTGCCACCGACGCACTCTTCTCTTCTAAGCTTAATATCGCTATTCTAAGTCAATAGGTTTTTATCATGATTTGGTAACTACAGTCGATGATCATGTGTCACATCTTAAAGTATTTAAAAAGGAACAATTGGCCTGGCGAAGAATATACTTTTCGTAACTTCTGATCAAGACTGTACAGTGTTCTAAAGTGTCATGGAAATTCCGATTATGATAAATGATTGATATGAGTTGTTAACTGAAAATATCAAATTACATATCAAGAAGAAACAACGCATAGATTGTGGGATCTGATGAAGTAGTCCTACACAAACATGCAATATTAAGTGATGGTCATCATTAAAACTGAAAATGCGTGGAATCAGGGGTAATTTACATAACAGTAAGACATATAGAGGGATTTGAAAGAGGTTACTTCATTCACTTGTCTAGGGAGCATTGTCTCAACTACAGGAGGAACGACGAGGATGTCAAATCGAGCGAGGATCGGGAAGGCGAGAAACATATTCATCAACCGAAAACCAATCTGGAAATCTTCGTCACCCAGCATCAACACAAAATTCGGTAGGATTTTCAATACAAACGTCAAGTTACTTCTTCTATACGGATCAGAAATTTGGCGGGTGGGTCACAAAGAATATTTCCAACAGCCTGCTGCAGACATTTATCAACAACTAACTGTCTTCGCTGGACCTATACTGAAGATCAGATGGGTGGGATCAAAAAAAACAAGAACCGGTACCCAACCAAAAATATGCAGGAGATAGTGGAGATGGATTGAACACTCGCTGAGGAGAACGCAGGGCGGCATTGCGCAAGCATCAGGCCATAGTTTGAATGGAACAAGGCCGAAAGGGAATCGGCGAGTGGGATGTCAGTGCAAGGGTGACAGGGAGCAGATCATGTGAAGAGGAGTTGAAACGGTATGGACTAACATGGATGCAGGTGAAAAGTACAGCAGAAGACAGAAGCAAGTGGAGACGTGAAGCTGAAGCCCTATGTTCCACTAGGAACCCAAGGGAACAATAATAATAATAATATCTATCACCCAGAA